ACTAATACACACTGGGTCACATTTGTACACTAGCATCTACCTGTGTTAGTGTTACACACCTTATCTTGCTGGAGGCAGGGTGACCACTAATACACACTGGGTCACATTTGTACACTAGCATCTACCTGTGTTAGTGTTACACCTTATCTTGCTGGAGGCAGGGTGACCACTAATACACACTGGGTCACATTTGTACACTAGCATCTACCTGTGTTAGTGTTACACCTTATCTTGCTGGAGGCAGGGTGACCACTAATACACACTGGGTCACATTTGTACACTAGCATCTACCTGTGTTAGTGTTACACCTTATCTTGCTGGAGGCAGGGTGACCACTAATACACACTGGGGCGTAGGGCACATTCAATAATGAATAATAATATTAATAAACGGTTTATTGAAAAGGTTCTGTAGTCCGAAGGCTGAAAATATACACTGGACGTAAATGACTTATTACATACATTATTGCGTTTTCCCCCCTCCTCAATACTCACTGCTGATTGGCTGTTCAAACCTGTCCGATTTCGTCCTGAAGTAATGATGTATTTCTAAATGAGTTTATTAATAATGACCGTTTCTGACGAGAAAGATATTTAGCTAAATTATATTAAGATACAAACATTAATTATTTCAAACATGAACACGTAGGAAGTTTATCAGAAATATTATACAAGGATTAACTGTTAAACTCTGGTGGCCAATTGACCCTTTTGGAAGACACGTTTAATATACAGTATTGCCGGCGTATAAGACCCATTTTTCCCCCAAAAAATTTATAAAATAATTACCCTGCGTCTAATGTGTCCGTATTATGGATGGGCGGCTGAGCACCGTAGGCCGAGGTGCCTAGCTTGGGGGTCTGGGACGAGCAGTAGTCCACCAACAGTGGTGGGCACGGTTCCGCTAATTTGCGAAGTTAACTTTCTCGTTGGTGGATTAGCGTTTTCGCTAACTTTGGAAATCATTAGCCGACCAATTAGCTTCCGCTAAATTTAGTTCCGCTAAATTTAAGTCCGCTAACAAAATTTATACATGTTTGTTCCTGTATGTTGTGAGGTGTGACGCAGCGACGCTCGTCTCCAACAGCCAGTGAGGCACGCTGGGCTGACTGTCTGTTGTGAGGTGTGACGCAGCGACGCTTGTCTCCAACAGCCAGTGAGGCACGCTGGGCTAACTGTCTGTTGTGAGGTGTGACGCAGCGACGCTCGTCTCCAACAGCCAGTGAGGCACGCTGGGCTGACTGGCTGTTGGTACTGTATGTGTAAAGTTTAGAGTTTTCTGTTTATTTACATGACTAAGACCAACAATAAGTTATATAAAAATGCACTGGTATAATGTGTATGTGGTTGGTATTGCATATTTACATGGATAAGGCCGATAGGTTGTATGAGAATGCAAATTAATTATATGTGAAATTGTGTACAGTGTATACCTTTACTACACCTGCTGATGAACTAACTAGCTGTAGATGCCATGATTAATAACTAAGGCAGTATGGTCAGTCCTGTAGTGGTATATGGTCCAGCGACGCTTTACTACACCTGCTGATGAACTAACTAGCTGTAGATGCCATGATTAATAACTAAGGCAGTATGGTCTGTCCTGTAGTGGTATATGGTCCAGCGACGCTTTACTACACCTGCTGATGAACTAACTAGCTGTAGATGCCATGATTAATAACTAAGGCAGTATGGTCAGTCCTGTAGTGGTATATGGTCCAGCGACGCTTTACTACACCTGCTGATGAACTAACTAGCTGTAGATGCCATGATTAATAACTAAGGCAGTATGGTCAGTCCTGTAGTGGTATATGGTCCAGCGACGCTTTACTACACCTGCTGATGAACTAACTAGCTGTAGATGCCATGATTAATAACTAAGGCAGTATGGTCAGTCCTGTAGTGGTATATGGTCCAGCGATGCTTTACTACACCTGCTGATGAACTAACTAGTCGACCCAGTAACTTACTCCCTTTGCTTGCCTCCGTTGCCAGGTGTACCGTCAAAATACATATCTTATTGTCTAATTTAAAAATGGTGATAGACAGTGATAAATATATTATATAAACTACTGTATTTACCTTAGATAACATAACAAGAAACATTGTATCATTACTAGAGTGAATGAAATAATATTACCACAACAGGTTATGTTCCCCACCTCCTGTGTCCTAGCAACTGGCGGGTCAAGCAGCCCCTATGGGCATAAAATGTTCTTTGCTCTGGTTTGGGAATATTTCTTAGGGAAACTTCTCGGAGGCTTATTAGCCCAGAACCCCCTAATTTTTTGTCCGTATCTTCCGAAATCCGGATTTCCCGGGTCCAGATCTTATAGGGTTTACTGTGATAAAATACTGTACTGAAAAACAAGCCAGATTATCACAATCTATTGTCACAAACTTATGGCAAATTTGTTTAAGACATAAATAATGGCTTGACGGCAGAGGATCTATCGTCACAAACTTACGGCAAATTTGTTTAAGACATAAATAATGGCTTGACGGCAGAGGATCTATCGTCACAAACTTACGGCAAATTTGTTTAAGACATAAATAATGGCTTGACGGCAGAGGATCTATCGTCACAAACTTACGGCAAATTTGTTTAAGACATAAATAATGGCTTGACGGCAGAGGATCTATCGTCACAAACTTACGGCAAATTTGTTTAAGACATAAATAATGGCTTAACGGCAGAGGATCTATCGTCACAAACTTACGGCAAATTTGTTTAAGACATAAATAATGGCTTAACGGCAGAGGATCTATCGTCACAAACTTACGGCAAATTTGTTTAAGACATAAATAATGGCTTAACGGCAGAGGATCTATCGTCACAAACTTACGGCAAATTTGTTTAAGACATAAATAATGGCTTGACGGCAGAGGGAAGCTAACGGCATCTCACTGTATGACCCACACTGATACTTGCCTTACATTATTTATGTTACCTCTAAGAAACATTAATTTATTATCTAAATGAAAAATAACCTGAGAAAAATTAAAGAAATAATACACCTGTCTATTATTTTAATCCTCGAAAGAAAGAAATATATTAGAAACCTTAAATTATGCAATGACAATAAAGTCAGTTGTAATATGATTAGCAAATATCTACAGTGGGGTATGATATAACGAACGGATCATACTACGAATGTTCCTATAACGAACGGTTTTACCTATAAAATTGAGAATGCTATAACGAACGAAACTCCTACAACGAACATTATTTAATTATTATTATTATTATTATTTTTTTATTACAAATATTAATGATATTCTTTATTTCAGGGGTTTAGATGCATATTTATGCACTTTTTTACAATTTTTACAATTTTATATTATATTTTTCAGTGTTAAGTGGTTGTATTTGGGGGCCTGGAACGGATTAATCCTATAACAAACGAATGCTATAACGAACAAGGTTCTAGAACCAATTAGATTCGTTATAGCATACCCCACTGTAAAGCATTGAGGACCGAAACACCCGCCCCCCCCCCCAAAAAAAAATTGAGAGCTATTCAACCTGTTTCTGAGTCCTCCTCAACCCTCTATAAGTATACCGTGTCTTTGACTGACTCTGAGTTACACCCAAATGACCACTTCAGTGTTCTCCCTTCTCCAGCCATTATGAGTTTATTACAGCGTTAACTTACCTCAAATATCTTATGTAATGCTCACACTATAGACAATTAGTTGCTTTAGGAAACACTCAACATTAAATGTGGAACAAATTGTATATTGTTGAACTTTGATGTGAGAATCTGGTGGCAGCCCTGGTTGTACGGTGTTGCCAATTCATTGATATAATTTCTTCATTATTTAAACAAATATACGAATATTTGTTAACTTGTCATGATCTTAAATAACGATGAATAGTTTATTATTGTTACAAATGTTACTTTTGGATTGTTTAATATTTATCCTGACAGTGATGCAGTCTAAAATAAATCCACCAATCACAATCACCGTTACATACAACCTTTCTTCCTTTAAGTAGATCCACCAATCACAATCACCGTTACATACAACCTTTCTTCCTTCAAGTAGATCCACCAATCACAATCACCGTTACATACAGCCTTCCTTCCTTCAAGTAGATCCACCAATCACAATCACCGTTACATACAGCCTTCCTTCCTTCAAGTAGATCCACCAATCACAATCACCGTTACATACAACTTTCCTTTCTTCAAGTAGATCCACCAATCACAATCACCGTTACGTACAGCCTTCCTTCCTTCAAGTAGATCCACCAATCACAATCACCGTTACATACAACTTTCCTTTCTTCAAGTAGATCCACCAATCACAATCACCGTTACATACAGCCTTCCTTCCTTCAAGTATTGCCAGGTAAAATTGGGAGCACGAGACCCAGGGTGGAGTCGGTGCATCTTTGGCTGATTGTACCTAGACAGTGTAGGTATACAATGTACCTAGGTATACAAACAATGTACCTAAACAGTGAAGGTATACAATGTACCTAGGTATACAAACAATGTACCTAAACAGTGAAGGTATACAATGTACCTAGACAGTGTAGGTATACAAACAGTGGTACAGTCAGCCAAAGAGCCATCGACCTTCACCCTGGTTCTTGTACTCTCAGTTTTATCTGGCAATACTTGATGAAGGGAAGCTGTATGTAAAGATGATTGGTGGATCTATTTTTGGTAAATATTAAGTAATCTTAAGGTAGAATTTATAATAAATAAACTCTTCATTATTATTTAAGATCATGACAAGTTTATAAATGATATAATTACTTAAATAACAAAGATAATTTAATGTGGGGATCATGTGGTTGGTTAGGTTAGGTTAGTGTTAGGTTACTTACACTTGGACATTGTGAACCACAGTAGACTTATACTGTAGTACATTGTTATTAATGGTTGTTGTTGTTTCAGGTGTGAAGGGCCTTAGCTGCTATGAAGCTCACCTGGTGCTCCAGCGAGCCACCAGAGGTCCTCAGCGTCCCAACTATGGACGACCGTCACGATGAATAGGCGCGGAGGCAACCGAGCCAAACGCACTACAGAGTCCAAAGGTTCGGGCACCGGTGGCCGCGGGGCGAGGGCCGCCGCCCGCAAGGAGGGGGACCCTGCCGCCACGGCCCCGGGGAATGACGCGTCCCGTGGCAAGAGAGGAGAGGAGAATTATGGGTCGCTGAGGGCCCGCAGGGATGCCGTATCCGGAGACGAACCGAGCGTCTCCGCCGAGGAGGAGAGCGTCGCGGTGAGTGGTCGGGGCATCGCCTCCAGTATGCCCGCTGCCACGGTCACCCGAACCCCCCGGGTCGGCCCCACTAACTGTGGCCGGGGGGCCGGAACGACGGTTTTGTCTCCGTCGTCGGCCTCTGTGAGGGAAGAGAAACAGCCCGTGCATGATGTGTGCAAGTTACCCAAGAAACGGAAATTTGATCCATCTGAACTGGAGGACATGACTGATGGTGCCAGACCCCTGTTGACCACTGCCACCACCACCACCACTACCACCACCACCACACAGCAAGGGGTTCACACCGCACAAGGGGTTCACACTGTCACCACACAACAAGGGGTTCTCACTGCAACAACACAAGGGGTTCACACTGCTACAACACAAGGGGTTCACACTGCCACCACACACCAAGGGGTTCACACCCCCTCCACACACCAAGGGGTTCACACCCCCTCCACACACCAAGGGGTTCTCACTGCTACAACACAAGGGGTTCACACCCCTTCCACACAGCAAGCGGTTCACACCCCACCACACAGCAAGGGGTTCACACTGCTACCATACAAGGGGTTCACACTACCACCACACAACAAAGGGGTTCACACTGCCACCACACAAGGAGTTCACATCACCACCACCACACAGCAAGGGGTTCACACCCCACCACACAAGGGGTTCACACTGCCACCACACAGCAAGGGTTCACCCCCACCACACAACACACACTGCCACCACACAGCAAGGGTTCACACTGCCACCACACACAGCAAAGGGGTTCACACCCCCACCACACAGCAAGGGGTTCACACCCCCACCACACAGCAAGGGGTTCACACCCCCACCACACAGCAAGGGGTTCACACCCCCTCCACACAGCAAGGGGTTCACACTGCCACCACACAAGGGGTTCACACCCCCACCACACAAGGGGTTCACATCATCCCCACCACACAAGGGGTTCACACTGCTACCACACAAGGGGTTCACATCACCACCACACAACAAGGGGTTCACATCACCACTACCAGCACCGGAGTGGTGGTTCCCTCATCTGTCAGAGGCATCTGCGTGAGCACGGCCGTCTCCAGCCCGATGGTGTGTGGGGTGACCGCTCCGGATGCAGTGAGCAGATCCATGGCGTGCGTTGTAAATATGTCCGAAAGCAAGCCACAAGACCTGCGGGTGAACGCCGCACCTGGGAGTAGAGACGACGGCCAGGACAGACGGCCATCGGGGGAGTCTCCGGTGACCGTGAAGAACGCGACGGCGGTGTTAACCGTACAGCGTAACACACACGGTCAAGGCAACAACCAGCTCAAACTGATGCCTGCCACCACCACGGGCCTCCTCACTCACCCAGCGGCACTGGTCACCATCCCTCACTTCCAGGGCTCACACACACAACTACAGAGACAAAAAATACAACAACGACACATACAACCCCACCAACAACAACAACAACCCCATCAACAACCTCATCAACAACAACCCCATCAACAACAACAACAACCTCATCATCACCAACAGCCGCCTCATCATCATCATCATCATCAACAACAACAACAACAGCTTCATCAACAGTCACATCATCAACATCATCATCAACAACAACAACAACAACAACAACAACAACAACAACATCAACAACATCAGCAGCATCAACAACAACAACAACAGCAGCAGTTGCAGCTTCAGCAGCAGCAGCAACAACAACAGCAGCAACAACAGCAACAGCAGCAACAACAACAACAGCTGCAACAACAACAGCTGCAACAACAACAGCTACAGCAGCAGCAACATGTAGTCCATGTACAGCAGCACCTTGGTAGTCACCACACCGTACACATGGTGCCTCCTCTGGCTCACTCAGTGTCTCAGGGCCGCCTCTCTCAGTCTCCCAGCTCCAAGGGGGAGTTCTCTCAGCCCAAACAGTACTCGGGGTTCAAGAGCGTGGCGGACGCGGCTGCCCAGGTGGCCCTGCCGTCTCACCACGTGCCCGGGGAGAGCGGCGAGGGGGGGGAGGTGCACCGGACCCCCGAGATGTGGTCGTCTCAGCAGGGCGTGGCCCGGGCGCCCGTCGATCTCAGCGAGTGGAAGGGCCACAGGGTGTTGGCCAAGAGAGGCCCTCACTATTACCCTGCAGTCATTATAAGTGTCAAGAACGCCTGTGATCTGGTGGTGAGGCTGGACGCAGAGCCCAACAGTGATCTCCTGTACAGTAACGTTTTTACCGCCGCCAAGTACGACGTGATCAGTGACGCCGTGCCGTCCGCCAAGCAGCTGGTGGAGGGTGCGCGCGTGGTGGTGCGTCTGGACAAGGAGCAGCACGTGTTTGTCGAGGGCGTAGTGTACGAGAGGCAGGGGTCGCCCGCCTCCCAGTACCTGGTGCGCATCGCAGGGGACGCCGCCAACCAGGGCTCCTCTCTCGCTAACGACCACTGGTTGTTACGGCCTCACCTGCGCTTGTTACAGCCGCCGTGGTGGGAGGACCTGGAGCCCCACGGACAGTCTTCTCTGGTGCCCTCCGCTCACCATTACGGCTCCCTCAAGCCCGGCGTGGGCTACCTACCCCAGGGCTTCCAGGAGGCGCCCGGCTCCCACCCGGTGCCCGCCGCCCCCTCCTTCTCCATGGTGGCCACCGCCTACGGCACCATCACCCCCCCTAACCACGTGACGCCCCCCGGCAGCGTGGCCATGACGCCCCTCAGCGGCCAGTCGGCCGGCCTCAGCTCCGGGTCTGAAGAGTTACGCAGACGACCAATGGACGACTACGACAGTGATGACGACCTCAGGAGAGAAGACATTACCTTCCCTACTGAAGGAGGTACTGTACTGTTGTCTTCTGTACTGTAGTGTACTGTACTGTTGTCTTATGTACTGTGTACTGTAGTGTACTGTACTGTTGTCTTATGTACTGTGTACTGTAGTGTACTGTACTGTTGTCTTCTGTATTGTACTGTTGTGTAATGTACTGTAGTGTGTACTGTACTGTGTACTGCACTGTACCGCACTGTACTGTACTGTACTGTTGTGTTCTGTGTACTGTAGTGTGTACTGTACTGTGTACTGTACTGTTGTCTTCTGTACTGTACTGTGCACTGTACTGTACTGTACTGTTGTGTTCTGTGTACTGTAGTGTACTGTAGTGTACTGTGTACTGCACTGTACTGTACTGTTCTGTACTGTACTGTTCTGTACTGTACTGTTCTGTACTGTGTTGTACTATTCTGTACTGTTGTGGTACTGTACTATTCTGTACTGTACTGTGTTGTACTGTACAGTTCTGTACTGTACTGTACTATACTGTACTGTTCTGTACTGTGTTGTACTATACTGTACTGTTTTGTACTGTTATACTGTACTGTACTATATTGTATTGTACTGTGTTGTACTGTACAGTTCTGTACTGTACTGTACTATACTGTACTGTTCTGTACTGTGTTGTACTATTCTGTACTGTGTTGTACTGTTATACTGTACTGTACTATATTGTATTGTACTGTACTGTGTTGTACTGTACTGTTCTGTTCTGTTCTGTACTGTAATGTACTGTTCTGTACTGTGTTGTACTATACTGTACTGTGTTGTACTGTTCTGTACTGTTCTGTACTGTACTGTTCTGTACTCTGTATCATAGTTCTGTACTGTACTGTTCTGTACTGTACTGTTCTTAATTGTGTTGTACTATACTGTACAGTTGGTAATTGTTCGTAATTGCAATTGTTCTGTACTGTATCATATTATAATTATACTGTATTGTTCGTACAATTGGTACTGTACTGTTCTTGCATGTACTGTTCTGTACTGGTATTGTACTATACTATACTGTACTGTTTTGTAATTGTACTGTTCTGTACTGTGTTGTACTGTGTTTACTATACTGTACTGTGTTGTACTTCATTGTATCTGTTGTACTTCATTGTACTGGTACTGTGTTGTACTATACTGTACTGTGTTGTACTGTACTGTGTTGTACTATACTGTACTGTGTTGTACTTACTGTGTTGTACATACTGTACTGTGTTGTACTATACTGTACTGTGACTATACTGTACTGTGTTGTACTATACTGTGTTGTGCTGTACTGTGTTGTACTGTATTGTACTGTGTTGTACTGGTAATTATACTGTACTGTGTTGTAATTGAATACTGTGTTGTACTGTACTGGTGTTGTACTGTACTGTGTTGTACTGTACTGTGTTGTACTGTACTGTGTTGTGTATGTACTGTTTGTACTGTACTGTGTTGTAATTGGTACTGTGTTGAATTGCATTGTGTGTTGTACTATACTGTACTGTGTTGTACTGTACTGTGTTGTACTGTACTGTACTGTGTTGTACTGTACTGTGTTGTACTGTACTGTGTTGTACTGTACTGTGTTGTACTGTACTGTGTTGTACTATATTGTAATTTATCATGTGTTGTACTGTACTGTGTTGTACTGTACTGTGTTGTACTATACTGTACTGTGTTACTGTACTGTGTTGTACTGTAATTGTGTTGTACTGTATTATACTGTACTGTGTTGTACTGTACTGTGTTGTACTGTATTGTACTATAATTGCACTGTGTTGTACTGTACTGTGTTGTACTGTGTTGTACTATACTGTACTGTGTTGTACTGTACTGTGTTGTACTGTACTGTGTTGTAATTATACTGTACTGTGTTGTACTGTACTGTGTTGTACTGTAATTGCTACGTTGTACTGTACTGTGTTGTACTGTACTGTACTGTGTTTGACTATACTGGTACTGTGTTGTACTATACTGTACTGTGTTGTACTATACTGCACTGTGTTGTACATTGTACTGTGTTGTACTATACTGTACTGTGTTGTACTGTACTGTGTTGTAATTATACTGTGCTGATTGTAATTGTGTTGTACTGTACTGTGTTGTACTGTACTGTGTTGTACTGTACTGTACTGTGTTGTACTGTACTGTGTTGTACTGTACTGTGTTGTACTATACTGTACTGTGTTGTATTATACTGTACTGTGTTGTACTATACTGTACTGTGTTGTACTGTACTGTGTTGTACTATACTGTACTGTGTTGTACTGTACTGTGTTGTACTATACTGTACTGTGTTGTACTGTACTGTGTTGTACTGTACTGTGTTGTACTGTACTGTGTTGTACTGTACTGTGTTGTACTGTACTGTGTTGTACTGTACTGTGTTGTACTTACTGTACTGTGTTGGTATCATACTGTACTGTGTTGTACTGTACTGTTGTACTATACTGTACTGTGTTGTACTATACTGTACTGTGTTGTACTGTACTGTGTTGTATCAGTAACTGTGTTGTACTATACTGTACTGTGTTGTACTGTACTGTATCATGTGTTGTACTATACTGTGCTGTGTTGTACTATACTGTACTGTGTTGTACTGTACTGTACTGTGTTGTAATTGTACTGTGTTGTACTATACTGTACTGTGTTAATGTATTGTGTTGTACTTGTACTATACTGTGTTGTACTATACTGTACTGTGTTGTACTCTGTACTGTACTGTGTTGTACTGTACTGTGTTGTACTCTACTGTACTGTGTTGTACTATACTGTACTGTGTGTTGTACTTACTGTAATGTGTTGTACTGTACTGTGTTGTACTGTACTGTGTTGTACTATACTGCACTGTGTGTTGTACTTTGCAGTTATACTGTACTGTACTGTGTTGTACTGTACTGTGTTACTGTACTGTGTTGTACTATATTGTACTGTGTTAATATATTGTACTGTTGTACTGTACTGTGTTGTACCTCTACTGTACTGTGTTGTACTATACTGTACAGGTTGTACTGTACTGTGTGTTGTACTTTACTGTACTGTGTTGTACTGTACTGTGTTGTACTATACTGTACTGTGTTGTACTATACTGTACTGTGTTGTACTGTAGTACTGTGTTGTACTGTACTGGTTAGAATTGGTACTGTGTTGTACTGTACTGTGTTGTACGTACTGTGTTGTACTGTACTGTGTTGTACCTACTGTACGGTTATACTGTACTGTACTGTGTTGTACTGACTGTGTTGTACTGTACTGTACTGTGTTGTACTATAATTACGTTGTACCTATACTGTACCATGTTGTACTGTACTGGTTTTTTTACTGTACTGTTGTACTATACTGTACTGTGTTGTAATTGTACTGTGTTGTACTTACTGTACTGTGTTGTACTGCACAGGTTGTACTCTACTGTACTGTGTTAATTATACTGTACTGTGTTGTAATTTCTACTGTACTGTGTTGTACTATACTGTACTGTGTTGTGCTCTACTGTACTGTGTTGTACTTACTGTACTGTGTTGTACTATACTGTACTGTGAATTGTACTGTGTTGTAATTATACTGTACTGTGTTGTACTATACTGTACTGTGTTATTGTACTGTGTTGTAATTGCATTGTGTTGTACTATACTGTACAGTTGTACTGTACTGTGGTTGTAATTGTACTGTGTTGTACTGCATCAGGTTGTACTATACTGTACTGTGTTGTACTGCATTGTGTTGTACTGTACTGTACTGTGTTGTACTATACTGTACTGTGTTGTACTGTACT